CTCCAACATTCTAGAGGTGTCAATTTTCGTATCCTAAGTTCTTCAGTTCGTGCTGTGTAATCTTTTTTTATGGCTATTTTCGGTTCTAATCCTCCACCTTGCATGGTTAATAGGGTTGGTGCGATTCCTTCAGGACTTACCACACACCCACGTTGTCTATACTTCCCAGGAAGTTGTCCGGAGACGATAATACCGTGTCTATCTTGTGCGGTTACGGTGAACATTTCCTCTCCATCTGTTTTAAACCGTCGCCCATTCTGACGCTTATGGAGACGATCCGGCGTTAAGATCGGAATCGCAATTTTACTCCCCTCGCCTTTATTCGTTGTAACTGTGGGTGATAACCCGTCTGAATGAAAGACATTCCCATTCATGCCACGATTTGACGGATTAACATTCCCTACGACAATTTGTTTCGGCGACTTGTAATCTGTTGCTGTCAATGTACCCATTAATCCATTGGTATAATAGGTTCTTTCTCTGTGATTTCTTGAAAGATCATTTCTTTTATGGGTGGTACCCGCTAACTTTATTTGGCTTGATTGACAATTAGTTGCGCTGTTTTCTCCGGTGAGAGGAAAAACTGTTCGGGTATCTGATCCTCTAAGACATCCGATAATGTAAACCCGTTCTCGATTTTGCGGAACGTATACTTTAGAGTTAAACAATTGCCATGAGCAGTCATACCCCAATTCATCCAACGTTCGGAGGATCGTCTCAAAGGTAGTTCCTTTTTCGTGGCTGAGTAAGCCTTTGACGTTCTCAAGCAATAAGTATTTGGGTTTGAGTATTCGAGCAAACCGAACGATTTCAAAGAACAAAGTCCCTCTCGTATCCTCGAATCCTCGCCGCTTTCCAGCAATGCTGAAAGCTTGGCAAGGAAAGCCTCCGCACAAAACGTCGACGGATCCGATTCCGTTAATAAATTCATCTGTAACTGTTGTGATATCATGCATTTCCACCTCTCCTGTTGTCTCATGTATGGCTTTGTAGCTTTGTCGAGCAAACTTGTCAATTTCGCAAAAGCCAAGACATTTATGGCCCGCTTGTTCCATTCCAAACCTAAAACCGCCTACACCCGCAAATAGATCTAAAAACGTTAATGAGTCTTTCTTTTTGATTGTCGTCGTTAGTACGGGTATGTTTGGTTTTCTTCCATGTTGTTCTTTTACAGCGTTCATTTCATTTCTTTCCCACATGTGTTTCAAGTATTTCAAGCGCTTGATAGACATAGTGTAACGGTTAATCCGTTGCCCTTGTGGCTGATTAATGCTGTATAAACGTGGTTAAAAAGTTGGTTTTAATAAAAACTGGTTCATGTGGGCAGAAAGATTGGTTGCTAGTTCCGTTCAATGCGCTTCAACGATTCGGCGTAATACGTAGGATCTGTTTCAAATCCGATAAAGTATCGATTGGTATTTAGACAAGCGACAGCTGTGCTGCCACTGCCTGAACAATTATCTAAAACAACTGCTTGCTCGTGTGTATACGTCTTAATAAGATATTCTAATAAGGCAATTGGCTTTTGTGTTGGATGGATCACGTCCTTACTATCCTTCTTAAACGTTAAAACATTTTTAGGATAATTCGTCCATTGACTGATATAGTCTTTATTGCTTAACGTATCAGAATAAAGGCTGCCGCCTTTGTTCTCCCCACGTCTTTTTTTTATCGGCTTGTCTCTTTTTTTGAGTCCTTGCGGGTTATAAATGGTGGTTCCCTTACAAAAAACAGAAACGGTTTCGACACTTCGCATCGGTTGATATTTCGCAAAGGCAAAGCCTGTCGCGGTGTTTTTTTGCCAGTACCAGTCATATTTGTAATGCTTCAGATTACTCATGCGCAACATCGTTGAAAACGGCTCTGCCCCAAATAGGACAATTGCTCCTTGATCCTTTATGACACGCAGGTACTGCGCCCACAATTTGTCAAATGGTAATACCGTATCCCAACGTGCAGCGGTTGTGCCGTAAGGTAAGTCACACAAAATCATGTCGATACTTTTGTCCGGTAAACGGTCCATTCCTTCTAAACAATCTTCGTTATAAATAATATTTGTCTCCATTGGTTCCTCCGTCTTCGATTTAGATCTAAATCTGGTTGTATTCAAGTCTTGATACCTGAAGTATACGAAGGATCTGGTTGACGCGTCTGACCAACAACGCTAGCGAATGGTTGGTTAAACGTTTGTTTGAACAATACTTAACGCTTGCGCAAAAGCGATAAGTGAAATTTTTGAATCTTCAATGATACAATTTTTTTGATAATAAATCTGTTCACTTATTGCCTCTATGGATAACCCATAAACATAGCGCAACATAAAGATCGTTCGCCTTCGGTCAGTCACATCAGATTTATACGGGTGCATAATCGCTGAATAGCCGAGTATAAATAACTGGTTGAAGCGTAAAAATTCTTTTTGGTACGGTTCAACCTCTGCTAATTCTATGGACGTAGCAATATATTGTTGTTCTTCATTAAGTAAATGATATGAACCCGTTCGTTTAGGAAATACTGGTAAACCCACGCGTTCTCGTGCAATTTTATATTGCACTAAAAAGATTCCTACCGCGCTCTTTGTTTCTTTCCAATTAATTGTATCGAATGAAGGACGTTGATAAGCTTCTACTTCAAAAAGACTCAACTCTTTCTCCTCCTTGTGGTATAATATAGGAGTTTCTTTGAATTGAGTGATTTTGAAGAAACGGTGAGGTAAGGCTAGGGGTATTCCTAGCCTTATTTACTTATCCTTTATTCGTTCCATTAACAGACATTACTATTCATTTCTAACCCGTTTTTGGTCACTATCATTTTTATTGAGTCGCATTTTCAAAACAATCGTCATGACAGCTAATGGTAAAATCATGATGGTCCCAATTGGTAACCAAACGTTATCTATCATGACACCATAAACACACCACATAACTGTATTGATCGATACAATTAGTTGCGTCCAAATACTGATCCCTGATAGAACCTGCTTGTTATTTCGATTATTCCAGGTTATTTTAGCCTGTGGTAGCCATAGAATTAAACTCGTTAGATTTGCTAAAGCACCTATAATATTTATTATCACATCAGTTCTCCTTCCAAAATAATGAGATAAGACTAAGGACATCCCTAGTCTTAGTTATTTATTGTTTTCCATACAAGAATAGCCGTTTTGTTTGTCTCTCTTGGATATGTCTGATTTGGCGGTGTAAGTACGTCATTTCCTTGTTTGGTAACGGTTAATTGGTACCCAACCTCTCGCATAATGTCCAGGGCTTCCTGATAGCTCATGCCATACTTACGCCAGATTTGTTTCTTCTTATTCTCCATCTATTTTTCCCTTTCCTACACTGTCCGACTACCAATAAATTGTACCTGATCAATCTTCCAGACTTGATTTTCCTTTACCAGCGTCAACTGGTACACCACACTCAACTTACTTTCAATCTCATTCATTGTGCTGGTGTACTGAATTTCATTTAAAGATACCACCGTTTCCGGTACATCTTGTTGATAAAAACTTTGGATCTTAAACACCGCTGAACGGACGTGTTCATTCGGATCGAATACCGACAACTGCAGTGCTTCTTTTGCGGAGTCTGTCAGTAATGATTCCACGGCTTCTTTCCGTCCTTGATAGCTAACATAAGTGAAATAGGCTTTTAGAAAAGCTTCATTGGCTGATCGATAAGCTGCTGCTGTCTTGCCCTCGTCTTCATTGGTTTCTTTTGATTGTGTCACTTGTGTTTCTGTTTCCGTCGTACGTTCTGATTGAACCGACGTTTCAACGGTTGCTTTCGTTGGATCTTTTTGTTGCCGATTTAAAACAAGGCCAATCCCAGCAACGAGTAAAACTGCCACCCATACATATTGTTTCATGTTGTTCCTCCTTCCTAATCTTGAAAGCGCCAGACCACGCTGCGCCACCCGGCAGGTGCCGAATTGCTCACATTGCTACGTTTATCAACGAATCCTGACCCTACAGGGTTATTACTTTCGATAACATTAACCGTTCCATCGCTATTCGTACTTTCAACGAGCATCGTATGGACACCTGTGGCGAATAAATCAGGTGAGCCGGTATTTTCATACTGAATCACATCGCCTGCTTTTGCTTGTGACCAAGGAACTTCGGTTGCTCCTGATTGAACGTAACCTGTGCGAACGCCTCCTGGAATAAATGTCCCTCCTTTTGCGCCATTGATCCACCCTTGGACAGCCACAATACACTCACCTCGCTGCCCCCAACCTGTTGGAAAGGTCTTCCCTACATCTTGTTGAGCCAATTCAAGTGCCTTTTTCTTCCAGCCGGTCGCTGTAGTGGCTGACGTTTGCCCTCCACTTGTTGACTGAACCAAGTATTGTTTGACCAGATCTGGATAAAAGAAATTCCCACCGTTTAAATATAAATACCCACCATTATAAGGAATTGCTACAGGGTTTGGATAAGGATACGTAATACCTGCCGTATTCCCTAAAGACGGGGCCACAACTGTTCGACTATACGTATCTGCCAATTTGGTTGAATGGACATGACCATGCTGGGCGATAAAATTGTTGTAATTTCCACCAAAGTTATACGCAGCGATCGCCGTCCATTGATCATTCCCCAAAGCTTTCGCTGCGTCCAGACAATTTTTATAATGCTGCACGCCTTGTTTAATACTTGCTTCCGTGTCTAATGTATTCACCGGTAAGCCTAAGCTCTCACTACTTTGAAAGACATCGACTGCACGTCCGCCTGATTCGACCATCATAATCGCCAACAGAACGGGAACCTCTTCAGGGATTCCCGCTTCTTTGGCGTACTTCTCAACTAGTGGTTGATACTGCAATACCTCTGGGGACAAGTTCGTATTCTCTGATGTGATTTCCAGTGGTGCATGAACGGAATCTCCTGTGGATAGACCACCTAATAACCCCACAAAAAGAAAGACAATGACTAAATAACTCCCACCTATTCCAACACACCACCAGATCATTTTCCGCTTTGCTCGCCGGATCATCAGTTATTGCCTCCGCTCATTCCGAGTGGGCCGACGTTTGATTATGGGCGTATCAGGTGCCTGAACAGGTTTCGGTGCGCTCATTTTTGGTATTGCTGGTGGTTTGGGTGCCTGTGGTGGCGTTGTCGGTTTGGGTGGTAATTGCCGACTTGGGTGCCTCGGTGTTTTTGTTGGTGGTTCAGGTTTCTTCAGAGACGGTTTTTGTTCCTCCGGTCGTTTCATTCGCCTTGACGGTGATTGATTCGCTCCCCTTGGCGCGTGCGGCACTAGTGGACGTTTCTTCTGCACCGGAATGGTTCGCATCGGTGACAGCGGTCTAGTTGATTTCTGTGTCACTGGACGTTTCCCAATCGGCGCTTGGCTTCGTTTGGATTGCCCGATTCGCCGCTGACCGTTCGGTGCGCCCACTTCTCGATTAGGCGCTACCGTTGACGGATCGGTCGTAGGCTGTAACGATCGTTTCTGTGATCGGGGACTAACCACGCGATACCGAGGCGGTGTCTTCGGTGCTTGTCTTGGTTGTTCCTCTTTGGGCTCATTTCCTGAAGAGTTTGGTTGTTGCCCACGTTGGAAGGCTCGCCGTAATCCTCTATGCTGTACCCAACGCTGCGCACCTTGAAAGACCTGGTTCGACTGGTTTGTCTGAAGCTGAACGCGACCGCCGGTAATCATCGAGACAATCTCATCCCGTTTTTTTAATAGGAACCATAAAATAAAAGCCAAAAATAAGCTGTTGACAAGAAACCCACCACTTGTGGTCGGTGGAATCACGCTATCTAAAATGGTTATGATTAATAACACAAATAGGAGAAAAACCACCAAAAAGGCTTGGGATAAAATCAGCCCCACTCCTTTCACTAGCGGCTTGACAAAGCTCTTGCGAAACTTCGGAATCAAACTCACAAAAAAGCTAATGCCTAAAACCAGGACACAGGCTAAGACCATCATTTGGACTAAGAAATTCGCCAATGCAAGTACGAGAAGTGGTATGCCCACACCTAATGCCAAGACTAAACTCCCGATACTCATCCCAAATTTTGAATTGACTCCCACATCTGAGTCGCTCATATAATCATTGTTGCCTTCTCCAGCTTCTTCTTTTACCGCGGCTTTCAACCCGTCTGAATACAGGGAAATACGGCTTCGTTTCAACAGGTTATCCAAGCGCTCTGGCTCGTCTTTGGTTAACTTTTCCGCGTCCGTTGTCCCATAATTCATCAGTAAGTACGGACGATACACCGCCAAATTGAAATAGGTGTTGCGAATAATCGCTGTTACCCCTTCTTTGGTCTGATCTTCTGGAATCTCTTCATAATCCCCTGTTAACGTTGTCCCTACCGCTAGAATGGAACTCTGAATCGAATCATTACTGGCATTAACGCCTTTAATGACTGTCCCGCCATACTGGAAGAAAAACGACGCTAAGACAAAAACACCGACAAACACAGCGATCGTCTTTAAACCTTTTAACAGGTTTAACTCTGCAACTAATTGCCATAACAACACAAAGGCCATGACAACCATCATAGGGAGTAAATATTCCAGTACGGCTTGATCCCATAGGCCTTTGGCCAGAGAGAGTGTCGTATCAACCCAATCATCTAAAATGGTTTGACCGCTCATCAATGTCAACCCATGATCGATTCCCTGGTACACAAATTTACTAAGCCAAAACAAGGAATTACTGAAGCCAATCAAATTGGTCTTACCTAAATCTAAGCCCCCAGCGGTTGACAGTCCTTCATAATGTTCCAAGGGATACTCCTTGTTTTTGAGAACAATTCCGCCTTGCTTGACTGTTTGTTTTTTATATTCCTCTGGCGGGATTTCGTCTCGACCTGATTTTTTTCGATACACGTCTTCCATGATTTCATTTATTTGGTCTTTGTCTGCGTCTTCGTCTAGTCCCCATTCCAACGCTTGACTGTTGGAAGAAGATAGAACTCCTAGAAAACCAATCAATAACAGGAAACTGAACGCGAGCCAGACGCCTTGTTTGTTCAGTTTTGTCTTCATTGGTCGTACTTCCTTTCCACTTCTGCCGAATGGCTCTTATTCGACGTTTTAAACGCAAGCGCCCATTCTGGAAACAGACAATCCACACTCAAAACACCCACGCGATCATACATATCTTTAAACAAACACTGTCCTTTTTTTAATCCCGCTAATAAGCTGATATTCTCCGGTGTGTGATCTAAGCCCATATGGGCAAGAATGGCCGGACGTTCGGCTGGTTCATCAAAGGCAAAACACAACCCAAAGTTTCCGATATCGTCTTCATTGGCCCCATCACTCACACTTTGAGACACCAGTAATAACTGATTTTTGAAGGAACGACCCACACGACGTAAGCCTTTGACCAGTTTCTTCCCGCCACGTGCCTTGGTGAGTGTCCATGCTTCATCAAAGATTACGGTGGTATTTTTGTGCTTATCTCGCATGCCAAAATATTGACAGAAATGAGCTAGTGGTCCCATAATAGCGACGGCTTTACGATCACTCTCAGTCCAATCCTCTGGTGCATCGTCTTGATCAGGTAGATCTAGCCCTTGAATCTGAAGAACGGTAAACTTGTTATCCACATCCAGTCCTTTCGCTCGGCCATCTGAAAAGACCAGCTGCAGGATCGAATCTTCAATCGTTAAACGCATATTCTCCCCATGTTCGCTGATTTCTGGATCCTCATGTTGAACCAATCCGTCTACTAACATCTTCAGACCAACAACGTGGCCTTCTTTCTTCAAGTTCAATAAGTCCCCTAATTGACGGCGCATCTCATTTTCTACTGGTAATGGTACTTTTGGAAAGAGCTGGTTCATCATGGTCAATACGGCATCGTTGGCTTTACTGCCGACTAAGAAATTCAGTGGATCTAACACACCATGATTGTCTGGATCATCCGGATCTAAAGTAATATAGGTCAGCTGTTCCATGAGACGTTCGAATTCCGGATAATATTGTTGCACAGCCGGATCCTGTCGGGCTAGTTCAAACCATTCCTTGACTTCTGTTTTCGGATCGGTCATTAAAACCTGGCCTTTTAAAAACATTAAATAAAAGGCAAAGAGCTTCATTAAGAAGGATTTCCCTTGCCCAGTCGCTCCTGAAAAATAAATATGCGGACTTTCGGTAGAAGACCCTGATACGCCTTCGTTCGCTAGAAACGCATGGATTAACACCATAAAGCGGCTACTTTGAATGGCCTCCATCACGTCAAAAGAATCCGTAAAAGAAATACGCCCAATGTATGGGCCGATATTGGTGCCTAATTTTTGCGACAAGCCGAACTGTAGCTCGGATAACCCTTTGTGGGTGCTCGAATGAAGCCATTTTGGTTCCACTGGATTGAGTGCCTGACCAGGAAGAAACTTATAAAACAAAGCTAGCTGATCACCTTGAGGCTGTATACATCGACAATCGTTCTCTTTGAGTGTTTCCTTGACTTGTTTAACGGACTCGGCGCACTCTTCCTTGGTTTTTCCGGTCACCACATAACACGCCATCCAGTCGTATAGCGGGTGATTACGGTTTTGAATACCAAAGCTCAAATCATTCAACTGCTCTAACCCATCCAATAAGTCCTCGTCGGTATCGTCATTGTTATACAAGACTTGATCCGTTTGTTTGAGGGTCTTTTTGGTACTACCGATTTTATTCATGGCCAGTGTTTTGTTTCGCTTTTTGGCTTTAGACTGGACTTCTACAGGAAATGAAAATTCTTGTGCTAACCAAAATAATTCCAATCCTTCTAAGCTATCCGGTGTGCGAGTGATTGGTAAAAAGGTAAGATAGCTCTCTCCTAAATCATCGTTAATCCGGATATACCCTGGTTCACTTGCCGTATCTAATAAGGGTTCGGCAATATTTTTCGATCGATCGTTCACTTCTTCTTCATACGTATGCGTTAACCCGCGGATAAAATGGAATCGGTTCATGTAATACAATAATTCTTCTGAGACCGATTTTCCGCCAATTTTCATCACATACGTACGCACGTCCTCTTCTGCTTGGGCATAAAGTTCGTACTCGCTATCTGAAATAGCCTTGCGGTAACCCAGCCATTGTAAAACGGCATGACTGACCGTGCCCATCGACTGCGCAAAAATTTGACGAACCGTTGCTTCACTTCCAAGTAAAACAGTGGGGATCCGGACGCCAATCAAGAAAGTATTTTCGGTTACTGTGCCTAATTCATCGACTAAAATATCCATGGTTCGTTGGTTATACGTCCGACCAACGTCAAGCAGCTCTGGATCAAAGTCTTTCTCCAGTTCCGCAAATCGTTCCTCTAAACGCATATCTGATGGGAGTAATTGAAAGTGAACATCCGTGTACTTTGATAAATCCAAATAGGCGCGCTCTAAGCGCTCTCGGTGATCGTCTCTCGCTTCTTGATTGCCTTCATGAATATAATCAGGGGTAATCGTATAATAGGCCCAACACTGCCCATTTTTGGTAAATAATAGGTTGTCCCGTAGTTCTTTCATTGGTGTTTCTATAGCCATAAGTGACTCCTTTCTACAAAATAGTTTTTTTGAATCGAATACTTTTTTCCAGTCCGGTGACAGGTTCATCCATGGCATACACGCGTCGTTTTTTTCGAATCTTCCACTGGTAGTGCCAATAGTCTTTTATAAAGAGATAGACATTTTTATCTTCAAAATAATCATGTTCTTCCGTTAATAGACCGCTAAAATAATAGATCATTCCGGCATAATATAAGACACTAACCGTTGTATTTGAAAATAACGCCCCAAATAAGGGCGTTAACAACACAACTTTAATGAGCCAAAACAGCCCAAATAACGGAAAAGCGATCAATAGTCGCCGTAACGGAATGGGTTGATTTGGTTTCCAAAAATCAAATTCTGGAATCATAATGGGCTTTTTAAACACATTGCGAAAGTTAAAACTCTTCCTCATGGTTAGTCACCCACCTTACCACCAAACCTCTTCAGTAACTCAACTGCTTCAGTCGGGAAGTAAACAAAGAAAGCTGCGATTGCGCCTGCGACAAAAAGAGTCACAAATTGGACCCACGCTTTTTTCCCGAAAGCTTTCATTGCTTGATAGGCAAGGATCACGACAAAGACATTTTTCGCAATGGTCATGAGCCAATCGGTTAGCCAGTCTCCTGTTGGTAGATCAGTAGTACCTCCTTCTGCATGGGCAACTTGTAGCTGGCAACAAACTAATAAAACGGCCGTAACTGCCTTTGTCTTCCAGTTCAATACAAAAGACCAAAATGGTCGTTTACTTCGTGTTTGGTTCATTTGTTGGTTCTTCATCATTCATGGTTCCTCCTAATGTATGGCTTAATGCCTCTACAACATATTTGTCTTCTTTTTTAGCTAAACGTAGACTATATTCTTGTTTACTTCGTGCGTTTGTCACACGATCAATGACACGAATCGTCACATAGACGTCCCACTCACTTTTTGCAGGATACGCTTGAAGCTGATCAATGCCATCATAGAGTTGAAGATTTCCTAAAAGCACAGGGGTTGTCATCATATACGACACATCATCTAGATTCGTTGATTCCATGTAACGTGGAAAAAATGTCTCGTTTAACCATTGTTTGATGGCTTTTTGTGTTTCTTCGTTAGCTGGATCAACCTTATCTGGTTTTTGTTGGGCAATCTTGGGAATAGCCGTCGTTTTAAATTCACTGACTTGTTCAATATACGGGTACGAGACAACCCCATAGGCTCCGTCTTCTTCTCCGACTTGAAAATGAATCAATTCAGAGCGACTTCCATCGTCCACTGAATAGTGAACCAAATACGTACAATGATACGTCGTCCCGTCCCATTCTTTTGCCCACAATTGAATACTTTTGATTTGTTTCTTTCGTTTGCCATCCCCTACATTTGGGACTTCTATCCCTTTACTGAAGTATGGCTCCACTGTTTTTTGGTAGACATCTTGTTTCACGTCAGTCGTGTAATAGCTTTGAATAAAATAACGACCAAAGACATCTAAGTTATCTGATTGTTGGTTCGTTAGCTGCAGTTGTTCAGTCTTCTTTTCTAATGCACTTAATTTCTTCGTCAGCACCTCATTCGTTTGGGTAATCGAACCAAACCGAACTAAGAATAAGACAGAACTTCCCAACAAAATCAATAAAAACACCCAAATGCCAAACGAGATCACCCGTGAAAGCCAGGCGGTGGGGAGCGATTGTTTTGGTGACTTTTCTTTCTTTTCAATCCCTTGAAAAAACGGCAATTTCTTCACTGGTCACTCTCCTTTCCTTTCTTCTTTACAGCTTTTTATTGGTTTAATAGCTTAATTTTGGTTGTTGGATCTTCCAGCGATACATTTGTAAAGACCTCACCAAAACAATCGGTACTTAACGCCGATTGTGACGTCACGAGTACCGATTGTGTTTGGTAGATACTGTTGGGGTTCGTTGCTGTTTCTTCCTTATAGCGTAGTAATTTCTCCACGATCAACTCTGGTCGGATCCGATCACTCGCCACAAATAACGGAATATAATAGCCGATTGGTTCTTCAAATACGACATGATCCTCGTAATTTTTGATCTTGTAGCCTGAACTCAATAAGGCTTCATAGCGACTCATTTTTTCTTTAAACGCGCGATATGTGGCAATCGAGTTTTCTGCCTCCAGAAAGAGACAAATGTTATTTCGTTTGTCCTCGCGTCCACCAATGACGATTAGACCGTCTGGACGAACCACGTCTTTTTTTCCTTCCCCATACTGAAAGAAGGCCCGGACTTCCGGAATAAATTCCACCACTGTATACACAGGGTGATCAACCAATTGACGGCGTAACCCTTCCGTAATACGTAAAATACTTAAGGCATGGTTGTACCATATTTTCAACGACGAGCGCCACGCGCCTTTATAGTCGCAATACCCATGCATCATTAACATGAATTCTTCTCCTTTTTGCCCTAATGTATACACCGTATCACGTTGAGCATAGGTCGTTGTCACACGTAAAAAGCGTTCTAAGTAGCCATGATCGACCAATTTTTTTAGTCGTAAATTGACAATTGAGTTGACTTTTTCTTCCGTTGCTTCAGGAAAAATAAAAATCCATTCCTTTAAATAATTACTATCGACATAAATATAATCGTGACACAGCTGCAATACTAATTGATCTCGCTCGGTCAATTCTAATCGACTTTCTTTTGCCATGACTCCCTCCTCCTACGCCCCAAATAGCGAGCGACTTTTTTCTGTTTCTTCCGTTGCTTCTTCTAATATCGTTTCCGGCTGCTTGATCGGCAGCTCTGGTTCTACTTCTTTCTTCACAGGAGATTTCTTTGATTTTGGTACAATGCCATTTAAGTAGTGGTAAATTTCTTTATCCACTTTTTCACTGGTTAAGTACGCACGATCCTCCGTCAGTTTTTCCGCACGTTCCGCTGTCCAGGCATCGACTGAAGCAATGAGTTCTTTATTCGCAAAATCCGCCACACGTCCATCTGGTTGGTATTTATCCAATGGCGGAACTTTAACCATAAAACGCTGTTGTTCTTCTACCCCGTTTGGATAGACAAACGGATACTTCACCACGACTTCTCGTTTCTCTAATTTTTCTAATAAAATTGGTTTGACCAAATCTGTCCCAATATTGTCTGCCGCAACTTTTGAATCTTTACTCCCTTGTCTACAGACAAAGAAATTATTTTGAACTTCGGTTAATGTATCGCGTAACTCTTTAGATAATTGGGCCAACCGTTGAGTGGAAATACCCAGAGAAAAGCCAAATTTCCGACTTTCCGCAATTATTTTCGGTAAAATAAAGACGTCGCCTACTCTATGCGCCTCGTCAATCGCAAGCAAATGAAGATTCGCTCCAATATTCCGTGTTTCTGAAATACGGTAATACAAGTAACTGACATAGCTTGAAAAGATATTGATTTCTTTTCCGCCTAAATTTGACGCATCAAAAAAGACGAAATGCCCTTCTTCCATATAGCGTTTCACATCTAAATGATTTTCCTGCTGGCCAAAAATTCGTTTCATAGAACTTGACGTTGAAAAAAGATCAATCCTATTTTTTAAGGCTGTCGCAGACGTTTTAATATTTTCCTCTGCATCATTTTTCCAGTAGTTCAATAGCTCATAATATTCAGCTGCGTTTAAACGCCCCAACAATTCTTCTCGATAATCCTCATCGTCGACTAATCTAGGAACTTCCAGAATTGTATGAACAACCTCTTCGTCAGCCAATAACGTTTTAATACAAAAGCGAAGCAAACGAGCAGCCACCTCGGCCTTATTCTCAAACGCATTTTCAATAATTTCTGAAATAGCGTCTGCTTGGGCATCAACGGTTACACCTTCGATTCGACCTAATAGGTTAATCCCAATCGGGTATTTTCCGTGTGCCAATTTAAAATAATGCACTTTTTCCCATTGGATTGTTGCACCTAATGTCTCCGCACGTAAAATCCAGTTGAAGAATGTAATTGCCGTATCTCTGGCTGGATCAATAAAGGTTAGCCCTGGAGTTGGCTCCCCTTCAGACGCAATAAACGGGGATAAAAAGCCTTCATTAATTAAGGTATTTAGAACCGTTGATTTGCCCGACCCTGTATTACCTGTCACGACAAAGTGTTCGCCAATAAATTTACTCTGGATAAAAACCTTACGGTCTTGTATAACGGGGTGCTGCATGACGCCTAGTTGTAAATCGTCTGGATTCGTCATTACATTGTTTGGTAGACTACCTATCCCACTTACATTGTGCGGGATCATTTTCTTTGTCTCTTCCGGTAATTTATCGCTTGCCAGCTGTGGCAGGTGAACCAAATTCGCTAATTCCGAACCTGTCAGCAAGATTTTCTCCGGTACGCGTGGGTACAATTGAACTGCGCGCTTGTTTCTCCGACGTTTTAATCGATTACTGTCATTCATGGTGGTCGCAATGGTGTTGAAGACATCAAATAATTTTGCCTTACTCTCTTTCCCTGTTGCCACTAAACCAATACTCGTACGATAAATCACTTCGTCTGACTCGAATCGTTTCCCCATATCGCGCACAAGTTCTTTTTGGCGGTTCATTTTTTCTTTTGCTTCGACTTGTTCGGTCATTCGCTGGGTATCTTTTTCTGTTTCATTCATGGATTTTCGGAAAGTCTTCAACGGATAATTTTCAAATATTACCTGAAGACTGGCGTCTTTTGGTAACTGTTCCGCCAAAAGTGTCGCGATATCCACGGTAAATTTCTTAAAGGGCAACGGTTTTTGTTTTGCCTGCCGCAAATGAAAGCCAAACCGTTTCTTTTCGCGTTCTTTTGACAGAAAATGCATCGATTCTTCTTCAAATACTTCAATGTGCTTATAATTCGCAGACGCAAACGAAGACACCGCTTGTGAAAGTAAGGTTTTATCGGATCCTAAATAGTAGGTCACCGACCCTTCTGAATCTTTTTTCACGACAAATGAATACCTGGGCTTTCCAACCAACAAACGAACACGCCAAGGTTGGGGAATATAGTAAAAGGAGCGCACCATGGTTATAATTTGCGCAAAAGCATAGGTATCTTCCTCATGAGGTAACAGCTGCACATAACGAAACCGACGTTCCGCCAATAGAAACTTAATCCCCCATAAAATAAGCCCCAGAATGAAAAGGCCAACACCTAATCGTAAGAGGATTTGGCCAGCATGAGCCATTGTAAGGCCATATCGTAATTGAATATAACTGATCCATTCGGAAACAGCTCTTTTTTGCCAGTAGCCGATCCCTCCTAGAACCACTAAAAAACTCAATAATTTATGGTCTCTAATCGTTCGGCCAATATCTTCTAATATATTTTCTACTTCATTTTCCATTTGTGCCTCCGTTCATTTATTTCGTCTTTCTTGTTAGGACTAATCTGTAAAAGTAGATAAGGGTATGCCGTATTTCGTTTCTACTGATTGAACCTTTGCTTCAAAGAAAGCTGCCGTACTTTCTGAGGTTAATTGTCGATAGAAGCGAGCAGCTTCTTGTGCAGCGACCACTTCTCTTTTTTGAGGGAATAAAGAACCATAAGACGCATGAACCAACTGAAGCAAAATCTGATAGTCCGATTCGGTTAATGGTTTTTGACTGACTAGTTTTTTTTCTACGGACCATATTTTTTCTACCTGTGCAGCGTTCATTCTATTCTTCCTTTCGTCCGTTATTATTATTAATAGAAGCGTTATTTAATTTATCTCCACTACCCTGCTTCATAGCCGACAAAAAATATTTTTTCGTTTTCAGAACTATTTTTTTCAGGCAAGCTGGCCACAGCCAAGCGAGCCGTGGCCGGCCAGGAGGAGCAGGAGGGCAGCGAGTGCGCCGACGCTTCCGAAGGGAGTCTATAGCGG